CATAAGAACATATGACCTCTTACAACCATTCTGTGGTAAACAATAGACTTGGCAAGTATGTATGTCAGGGTTGAAACATGGAAATAGAACCAGTATGGTAATATATTGAGATTACTGTTTAAATCTAGGACGTGGCTTATGGGCAGTGAAGGGCTGCTGGAGCAAGTGCAAAAATGTGTATGACGTGGTCATGAGGATAGATGGGAATAGACCAGCTATTGTTTAGTGGCAGAATTTCTTTCCTTTTAAGCTTCTAATGCCTTCCAGCTGGCTAAGTCTGATTCACCCAGGATATCTAGAAAAGTGAGGGACTATTAATTGCACATGCAAAGTCACCTATGGAAAATAATATTTGATGGAACAATGGGTGACTTTAGCCTAGTGAATTTAATACATACAGAAAATAAACACAACAAAGCTAAAAATGCTCTTTAAGAATCTTAAGCAAGTTCAATAAATGATCGATGGCTTTTAACATTTATTTCTATCCATTTCAGTCTCATGCCCATCATTGTATGAAAACATGCCATTAACGTAGAAGATGTTACCGTGGACGCTGAGAGGAATTGATCAGCAATACCCATTTGGGTTAGGCCACTGACACTGTTTTGCCACACAAAGAGGATTTACAAATGAATCCAATGAAAGTTAAATTTATGATATCTTTACAAAGTCACATTTGAGTGTTAGGAGTTTGAAAATGTTCTAGGACCAGGAATAATTTCCAGATTTGCATTTCAGGTAACTTTCCTAAAGATCTCAGGAGAAAAGGACCCAAATCTGTTAAGCTGTATTAGTTGACTGACATTCATTTTCTCATTCTAGTTAACTAGATACTTTGTGAATAATTTATTATTTGTAAATTTATGCTATTATTTTTTAAAGAGACTTCTTCACATTGTAGTTTGAGTGCAGGAATAAGGGATCGATTGCCATCCCAGTCTATGAACTTTTGATTGTCTGCTTTTTAACTTAAAACAAGAATTATTCAAGCACAGATGTCTCTCTCAAACTCTCACAAGGGCAAAACAGTTGGTTACTGGATTAATGATTTTGAAAAACAGCAAGTCCTGTTGACACTGCATGTAGATGAGCTGAACATCTCAGTAAACAGCGGGAGCTTCTTTTCTACATAGTGTTCTGACTTCCATAGCTTACCTCAGGGAGCTCTGAGGAGTCAGCTGTCCTGGTGATTATGACAAGCTCATCTGTAGGTGTGGGAAGCTGGGTCAACTGCCAGGGTGAAGAGGGAGCATATGGCATCAGGTAAATGGAAAGTCTATGTCATCTGTTGCTCTGCTTAAAGCTAGTTCCAGTTTCACTTATTTTTGTCTTTTTGCTAGAAAGCAAAACATATTCACACACCTGATATTAACATATATGAAATATTTAGTGTGAGGTTTCCCTCCCTTCTATTGTGAAAAATTATGCAATTTCTACTCCCATGGATTTCTGACAACTGTTATTAGGAATTTCTGTGAACTCTTTTAGGGTTTCTGTGTGATTTTAGAACTGGGCCCTTGTTTTCTTTTGACTTTCATTTGCCACACTTCTTCTGTTTCGGGATACACTGCTATTATCCTTTTATTAAAAATCGTCAATGATTTAATTTTGATAGGTATTGTGTTTTACTTTGAGCCAGCTTAAAACAGAAAAATCAAACGTATTAAAATTAGATATGTTAGATGACTTGAGTTTGTATTTTTGAGACCTTTGTATGCCATTTATAATGCTTATGTATTTTTTAACTTTCCAATGCATTGCTTAATTTCCCTTTGTCTCTATGTGGGGAGGGTGCATATCTTTGTTGGTTGGATCACCTTATAATCTTTGTTACATATCATTTCTCTGGTTCTTCTTTCTGCAGGGTAGTGACCATCCAATTTCTGTTGTAGAACGACAGAACCAGCACGTGTCCTCCTAGTCCCTGTCTTCTACCACACTTTACTCAGTAGCATGATTCTTCTTTGTGTTCACTTTTATGATATTTGCCTACACTGCCATTAATTCTCAGTCTTAAGTGATAGTCTTTATATCTAATTTATCAGGAGCAAGGCTTCTTTATCTTTTTTCTTCCCAAGTTTTAGTTGGATCATACATACCTTGTCAGACATGTGACGAGTGTGGGTACATATAACATTCTTAGCTCACACATTCTTTGCCTGATCATCTTTTAGTGCTGTTTTACCATCTTCTGATATTGTTTCTTTGAAGATATCTCGACCACTTTTTCTGGCTGTCAAATGATTCTCTATTGTTAAAGTATAATAAGTAGACTGTATAATTACTAGACTGTGCTCTGGTTTTGAGAATCCTGACTCTATTATTCCTAACAGTATTCATCCTATTCTGTTTTGCTATATGAATTAGATTGTACTGTAATTGAGGAGACTTTTACTACTTGATGGCCTATATACTTTGGTTTTCTTTTATGTTGTATTCTATTCTTATCTTTTTAAAAAATTTCTGAGTCAAGGTCTCTCTATAGCCCCAGATTGCCTGAAACTTGCTATGTAAACCAGGCTGGACTCGATCTCATGGAGATATACCTGCCTCTGCCCCCCGAGTGCTGGGATTGAAGCCTGCACCATCCTACCCAGCTCTGGTTTTCTTTTCTTAAGGGGTCAATTCAACTAAGTTTATGTTGCATTTTTTTTGAGTGCATGAACATTCTTTGATTCTCAGATTCGCTCTTAAAAAGTTTTGTTTTTGAAGCTTGTAATTTATGAAGTTATAGTTCTCCTTTCTGTGCTCTGCTTCCCACTAGGTTACACACCTGTTCTCCCTGTGGTCTGTTACAGCTCACATGTAATGACTTCACTTCCTCTGCAGCTCTTCCTGAATTCTTTCACTTCTGCTCTATTGTCTCCATAGATGCAACTCTTTAAGTTTTCAAACTTAATTTTGTTAAAGCTAATATTTATTTAGAATACTGACGGTTTTCTGGTAGTGATCTACATATGGATTCTTCCTGCCCCCAATTTGATTTTTTAAAATTTATTTATATAATAATACCAGGTCCTTGGATGATAGGCTGGAATGACGGTTAAGAGGATATTTGCATTTTATAAGGCACACAGGTAAATGACAAAATGATGCCTGCATTAAGTAGCCCTGTCTTCTCTCTTTCTCTGAACAGAACCAGATCAGGAAGCCTTGTGCTTCCAAACTTGTTGAGATTTTCCAGCATCTGCAGGGCAGGTGCACACAAAGGACAGAGTGTTTGTACTCCAGGGTGAGCCTCTGTGAGCACGTCTGCGTTCTGCACTCTGAGATGCTCCTGCTGCCTCCTCTCATTCTCCACCAAGTCATTTTGTGTAATTTTCGCATGGTCTCAGCTGTTCCGCTGCAGTGTTCATATTGTGTAGGCTGCAGACTGTATCTTTATCTTTGAGTTTTCTGAAAGTTGCATTTGTTTGCCGAGTAATTTTCCCTCATTTTCCTAGTTTGCGTGCAAGTCTCAGGACAGAAAAGGAAGTATATTGATTTTTATAGTCATGTTTGTACTAGAAGTAGAGAAAGTTTTTACAGTTTTTTGTGCTTTTAAAATCTTATTTACTATATTTTATTTGTGTGTGTGTGTGTGTGTGTGTGTGTGTGTGTGTGTGTGTGTGTATGAGTATAGGTGCATGCATGGCACACCCCTGGAGGTCAGAGGATAGTTTGGGTGTTAGTACTCTTTTTTTGCCCTGCCTCTTTTCTGTCACTAAATATTCCAGGTTAGCTGCCTGTGAGCTTCTGAGGATTTTCCCATTTCCACCCCACCCCCAAGTAGGAATCCCAGGATTACAGACATCCATTACTGTGCTCAACTCTATGTGGGTTTAGTAGATTTTTTCCTCTAGTTCATGGGACAAGAGCTTTATCCACTGAACCCTCCTCCCAGCCCACGATACCACTGTATTAAAAACAGTTGTGTAACATTCTTTTCTTTTTGGTTTTCTCTGACTTGGCATTTAAAGCTCTGTTCAGCCTACCTCCTGCTTCAATCCACATTTCTTTTTCTTTATGTTTCTATTCTACTGTTCAGGGTTATTCTACAACTTGGATAGTCACTCCTGTTTCTCTATACTGGCTCACACTTTATTTTCTTAGTTGACATTTCTGTTCCATATTGCCAATCTTTAGTCATCTCCATGTTTGAAATTATTAACTAAAATTCTATCTGGATTTCAACACCACATGGAATAGTACCTAAAACTTTACCCCTACTCTTTACACATTGCTAAAAGTTCTTTGTTTATGCATGATTTATGTCACTTAGAGTCCAATGGCTCTGTATTTTATCATTTATGTTATTTTAGTTACACAGATGTACTGTCAACTTTCTATCAATTAAAACAAAAGCCTGGGACTTAGCCATATTTGTGCCTCATATTATTTTTTCAGTAAGCATTCACTGAATGATAAATTTACACAGAAGGCCAAGATTATTTTCTTGAATATGTGGCATGATTTCCTCCCCCTTCCTGCTGGTATGCAGCATCATTATTCTTGGGATAATTTGCCTTTTTCTTTTTTCCTTTTCCTAAATTCTCAGATCCCTGCAAATCAAAATGCTTTTCTAAACGTGTAATTGCAGATGTATGTGTTTAGTCATTCAGACAGTCAAACTGTGTTTTGATTATTTTAATTGTTTTATTTCAATACAGAATAATTTATTCCTGGCTTTTCACAAGTCCTTGGTAGCTATTAAGTAAATTAAAAAAACAAAACCAGAATATACCAGCTTTAGTCCTCTTGCTTTAATGGCCAATATCTGTAATTGTACATATGCATCAGAAGACATGTTTTGTTTAAAAAAAATAAAAACCCTTAAGTTTAAATCAAAATAAAATGAACTGTTGAAACTTAGAAAAAAATCTCCCAAATACACTCTTGGGCTTAGAAACATATAGATTTTTAGACAAAGGAAACTTGAGAGATTTTTCCAGCTATTTCATTTAACTGGGTCTTTTACCAAATGTAATTTTCATGTAATTTTCTTCATCATTTTGTAGCTTTGAAAGCTGTGTTTGATGAGAAAAACCTGTTCCCCAAAGAAATTCTGGATTGTGAAAGACAAGCCAAGCAATTGCATCAGAAAACAAGCAGTGAAGTGAAGATAAGAAATAAGAAGCAATTATGATAGAAAGAAAAATAAATACTTCATTGTGACATAAAGTACGTACATAAACTGCGGAAGAATCCAGAATTCCGCCTTTCTCTTATACTTCATACTTGAACTGCAGGAAGTTTCATCCTCCACAATATGACGTGCCTGTGCTGTTTTCGCTCAGCATCTTAACTTTCCCTGTGTCATGATAAGAAGAAATAAATGAACGACTGAGTGGGCTGTAAAAGAGGGAACGGCAGTTGGTGTTATCTATCCTCAAGTGTTTGCATATAGAAAAGGACTTTTAGAACAGAGCATTCTACTTAGTTGCCCCTCTAATTGCTTCTATAGGCAAATATTTGGAATTACTTTCATTTAAAAATCTTTGCTAAAATATATGAAAATATTGAAAATCACCTAAACAATTTAAAATCTTTTAATGTTCCCACTTCTTTATACCTTCTTCCCCCACCCCGAATTCTGATATTGACAATTAGATATGGTCAAGGGTGACATTTATTCTTTTTAAATGTATTTAATTTGAATTGTACAAATTTACGGTGTGGAGTGTAACAATTTGATACATATATAGAATGCTTAATAATCAAATCAGGGTTGTTAGCATATACATATCATTAAATATTTACATGAATTTTTGGCTATTGTGATCATTGCAAACCTTATGCAATAGAGTAGGATTGACATTTCAATACATGTGTCCTATGCACTGATCTGTTCTGGATAAGCATCATTTCCTCATAGTCCATAGATTTATGTCTATCTTTCATATACTTAGTGGGGAATTAGTGGGCATGATCTGCTTCTGTACTTGGAAATTGAGTGATATACTCTATTAGTTACTTTTCTGTTCTGAGAAGACACCATGGCCAAAGGAACTTATAGAAGGAAGAGTTTACTTGGCTTACAGTTCCAAAGGGGTAAGAGTTTAATGTGGCAGGAGCCGAAAGCCCAGCTATCACATCCTCAAGCAGGCACAGGAAACAGATAGGAAACACAGCAAGGCTTAAGAACTCTCCAAGCCCACCCCCAGTAACACGATTTCTCCAAAAAGGCTGCACCTTCTAAAACCTCCCAAAACAGCACCTGGGACAAAATGTTCAAATACTTGGAGCCTATGGGGGATGTTCTCATGCAAACAACCATACACACCATAATCAAACAAGTAACGGCTTCCAACCAGAAACAAAGTGCCTGGTTCTATGTAAAGGTCTCACTCTCCAAGAAGAGCCAAGTAGGAAATATTTGGTTCTGAAACTTACTGGTTGCCTTTGTAACTCACATCATCCTCCAGTCAATCAATATTGTTTTGGTTTGTTTGTTTTTGTTCTTTTTGAGACAAGGTGTAAGTCAAATTCACTGCTGGGAGGTGCACGTAGTATCCAATTCCCTCCTCCCAAGATCCTTGAGACAGCCTGAGGAAAAATAATTCTCCAAAACACGGTTTAAAGAATTTTTAACGAGTTTATTGGACTTGCTAACTGAGCTTGGGGTGCAGGTTTACTTACAGACAAGTGGGCATCCCCCCTATTCATAGCTGATGCTGAAAGTCCACACCCAGACATAAATCCTGTGGTTCCTGACAGCCTTACAAAAATGGCGAGGGACCAGCCTCCTGGTTTTCCCAGCTTTTATACCCTTAGCTCCTCCCCTGCAAACAGCTATGGTCAACCAATTGGCTGGAAGAGGGAAGGGGAGTGGCTTCTTTCAGAGCATGGGAAGGAGGCAGGTCCATGGCTTGTCATCACAGGGTCAGAGGAACATCTTCCGGGTCACACAAGGTCTCACCAGCAAGTCTGGAACTCATGTAAACCAAGCTGGCCTTCATTTCACAGAGATCTGCATGTCTCTGCCCCCCAAATGCTGAGATTAAAGGCATGTGCCACCATGTCTAGTTAGTCACACTATATGTTATTGTGTGCTTCAGAAAGAATTAACATTTATTTTCACAGGTTCAGTTAGTTTGTATATATCTATAAAGATCTTTTAAAATATTTGTACCTTAAATATTTTGCAATAATTCATATGACTAAAGTAAATAACTAATATATTTTGACTAGTTTGGATTGGTAACCAAAATCTTCAGTACATTTAAAACTCATACGCAATCAACTAAAATTTACTTTAATGATTAAATGACACTTTTCTGTATTGTGAGATCATTTAATTATGGCAGTTCAGAGCTGGGATTGGAACACAGGTAATTATGGCAGTTCAGAGCTGGGATTGGAACACAGGTCTGCTTTACTCCCGAGATCACGGTGTTGGCCCTTGATCATTTTCTTCACTTCACATGACATTTTTAATAGCAAGTGTTTTAATAATAAAATTTCCACCAGCGTTAGGGAAAATATTTTGGTTTGAGAATAGGTAAAAGTATAAAGGATTTTTGAAGGCAGATTTCTATCCTATCTAGGTTTATGTGCATACTGAGTCAGGCATTGTAATGTCTACGTACATTGCTTTTCTTTTTCATTGAATGGCAAATATAATGGAGATATACAGGAGAAACGTGCACGCACGTGTGTGTGTGTGTGTGTGTGTGTGTGTGTGTGCGCGTGTGTGTCTGTATTTTGTGAGGTACTTATCTAGAGAGTGTTCTTGTTTAGGGAAATATATATATGTGTATATACATATATAATATGCATTAGACTCTATGTTTAATAGAAAACTTCAATTTTTCCTCAAATTATTCAGAAAATATTATTATATATGTACATATGATACACATGCACATCTGTGTATGTATGCATGTACCTATGCCTATTGTGTATATGTGTGTGTGTGTGTGTGTGTGTGTGTGTGTGTATGGAGTACATAAAGTGCTGAATGGTAACTGAAAGAGGAGGGGACATAGAAAAGGTTTTGGTGGTATAGTAGTATATGAGCAAATTTGTGTAACTATGAAAATATTTCAATGTAAATTATTGTTTCAAATACAAAATCTTGCCTTGGGATGAAAGATGCTTTTAGATGGTCAAACGTAAACCAACTCTCTCACAAGGATATTGCAGAGAAATCTGAGACTGGATGGGCTGTTTGATAATCCATCATTTCAAACTGAGAGCAATGATTTATGAGTCATAGGCTAACGATAACTTGGTGAAGCAAAAGAGGCACATTCTCAGAAATTTAAAGGACTATTAATATGTTAAAGAGATGTAATGAAGATACTGAAGCCTTTGCAATGGCTCTTTACTCCATCCATGGATGCGCCCACCCACCCTGAGTACATGCATCCATCTATCCATTCAGCCATCATCCAGTTATGGAAGGCAGACATAAGAGACTGTGTTCACATATCAATAGAAGACACTGATCCTGATTTCAGCATTGTCAAATGGAGCTACAGAAAGTACAATGACTTATTAGGTCAAGGTTGAATGATATTATTTTTTACAGGTATAATTAGAAATTCTTTTGATAGACATTTTACTTTTAGTTTCTGGAGATGGCTTCTTTTTGACTATAGATGTACCTTCTCTTTATAGCCTAGGCATACAGCACTCTATGCTGTATGGAACTCTAACTCCTTCCCTTATGAACTTCATGTTATCTGTAAAAACAATCTAGAGGAGCTGTCTCAGAATATATTTAATGAATTCAATAGAAGCTTCAAAACTCTGAAAGTTTCTTTTAATGTTACTATTCTAATAATTTCATAAATATATAGAAAAAGGCAAAAGAAAGACATTTCATTATTATGTCTTCCTATTTGTTCATACTTTATAGCATCTAATTGTGTGAGACAGGTAACAGGGTTTTATCTGTCAAAAGCTAATAGAACAGGAGAATTATAAACTGTTTCTGAAATTAGCATTCAAATGCAATTATTTAAGGGCCAATTTTCTGAAGTGAAAGGAACTTGTCACATTAAAATAAGATGTGTCATGATTTTCAATAGTTGTTTTTAATACCTACATTTATACTAGATATAACAACATTTCTGTTTAGAATTATTTTCTTCTTGTCATCCAAACTATACGGAGCAAACTGAGAGAAAAAACTGTCTGAAATTCATCCATGCTGAAGTAGAAAATTTAACTTTTAGATTCTTTACTGATGAATGAATTTTCCTTTATGTGTTTAAAGTTTGGATTTAATTACATTTTTACTCCAAAAAACTATGAAATACTAAAAAAAGGATGAGATTATAACTGTACCACCTCACTGTTGATGGTGCTGAAAGTTACAGTGAGGAATTTGGGCCTCATTATAAACATGCTTTTCTTTGATTCTGTCAGTGCAAAAGAATAGGGAAAGAACAGAATTGTGAGAATATTTAAATAGTGTGCAATAATATTTTATGTATAATTATGATATTTTTTAGCTATTAAAAAAGCTTAAAACAGGAAGCAAGAATTCATAGTTATTGTTTTTACTCCATAATAGATAGGAAAATTCATATCTTGTTTGAACTGCTCTAATCTAAGTTCCCTACAGAACAACTCCCTTAAATGGTCTTAATAAGATAGAGTGGCTGTCTATGACACTGTAAGGAAGGAAAAGTGATGACTGACTCTTGGAGAAATCACATTATAATCTGAGTAATGTGCACACATAATGATTTGGTAGCTAAAGGTAATAGTGATGAATTACTGCTGGTGTCACTTCATGGGTGGAAAAGCATTGATTGACTGATGGTCTTAGACATTCAGATCTATATTTATGTGTAGAACAGGTTGGAAGATAGTGTTCTTGGTTTGCATAGCTCTGTTTGGAAAGTTATTTCTAGCAGTGTTAAATCTAAAAAAGGGAATGTAATGTTGGAAGAAACCCCAAGATTTAAACGTTTGGAGATGCCTCTACAGAGTTTAAGTGGAGTTGTGTCACATGGGGTGAAGCCACAGACTATCTAACATAAACCCCAGTGCCAAGCATGGAAAATCTCCCTTTGAGATCTGAAATCTTGGTCAGGGTAGTCAAACAGACTCTCAAAAACAATATAGGCTATTGCCATTGCCCTTGGTTGCCACCCAGAACTCGAAGCTAAGACCCTATTGCTGAAGACACCACATACTTCAGACACAGGACTTGGAGGAATGGAACTGAAGCTGACCTGGATGCCTCCTCCCTGAGGACAGCTTCTCATAGCATCAGAAGGTAATAGACAAGCTGCCAAGGGAGGAAAACAATCACTAGTTCTACCTAGGTTTCCAATCCATGAACCGCAACAGTGAGAAGCCCAGCAAGATATTCTCACTGGTGCAATAGTGGCACTTTCCTCTCAGGGTTAAATTAGTTGGATTTAAGGCCCTCAGTGGGAGGGAGTTCATACCTGGTACTGTAAACAGTTAACTACTATAGCTGGAGAGGTTCCTCTCCTCTCCTCTCCTCTCCTCTCCTCTCCTCTCCCCTCCCCTCTCCTATTGATATTTTGAAAAAAATCAATATAGTTATTCTGAATACTTATCTTTATACCCACAGATAAATGTAGCTCATACCCTTCATCAAATAAGCTTCTTTTTGCAGCACATAGAGGCTATTACAAATTTCCACATCTTGTCAAAATGCAGAGAATAAGTAACCCTGGAATTTCCAAACCTAACCGGCAAAACTACAATGCAACTCTTCCATCTAGAGTTCATGGATCTCAAGAAATAGGGGGAGGAATGATTGCAGGAGGAAACAGTGTTTTCCAGACAGCAGGGAGGTTGCCTGTATGAACACACGAGTGTGACAGCATGCACAAGACCAGCTCAAGCTCAAGTCAGACAAAGTTCCAGCATGGAAGTGGGAGGTGGGCACCAAGTCCCACCCCTAGCTAAGGTGATAGTGACATTTGATATTAGGCTAGGAAGAGTCAGTTTTCTTTAATGGTGTGACTCCTGGTAGGTTGGCCACACTACAGGGCAGGTTCCACACTCAGCAGTACTTGGGCAAAACAAATCAGACTTAAGGAGAGGAGAAATATAAAAGGGAACATGAGGTTGGGTGGGTAGGTAGAGATGTGGGGTGGACATGGGAGGAGCTGGAGGAGGGGGGATACTATGAAAATATATTGTATGAAACTCTCAAATAAATAATAAATCATTCTAATTAAAAGATATTTAAGATTCCTATGAACATTCTATTTTTTCACATTTTATCAGAAATAATTCAGTGATCAGTAATGATATATCTACTTCACTGAAACCATATTGAACTTTGCATTTCTCAGAGGCCATAATGAATAATACATCTGCTCAGTACCTGACTGTGGGTGAGGGATCTGAGTTGAACTTCAAAATGAGGTAAAACCCATTCAGTTATGCATCCATATTTTATTAATGGATGGTTTGTAGAGAAAATCATGTAGAATTTTAAAAGCATACAGAAGTCACATCAATGTTCATTATCAAGTTACCTGTGGTTAGTAGTATCACCTTGATGAAATTTGGAAAGTCAATCTCAATCTTGTTTTCTTCTTGAACATAAAGAATATATTTTTCAACCCCCTTTTTAGAACAGGCCTCATATCCACAGGAAGTGCCTCTGACCACGGTATAATCTGTATGAACTGTTGCAAACTGTAAATGCAGCAGTCTCTGGACTTGATTTGGCTTTGTTCTTTTACTCTGGAGCACTTTGAAACAGTTACCGTGGGTGATGGGTTACATTTGTAATTTGATGTTGGAATCCCACGATAGACTAGCACATTTTAAAAGACTGGCACATTTTTCCAAATTCCCTTACTTCTATGGAAAGGGAAATGACAGATGAGATGATGATACCTACTTAGTGAGGATTAAAGTCTTGTTGCCTTGTTCCCTAACTCCTGTGCATTTCATCATCGATCACTGACTTGTTAGCCCTTACATACTAATGTAGGGCACACCTGCTCTGGTTATAGAGGAATTAAGCAACATTCAAGATTAATAGAATTGACCTTGACTGATAAGGTGCTCCATATATGTGTGTTTTCCAGTAAGCCATTTTAGTTATAACACTCCAGTAGATAATCAGAAGTTGATTCTGGGTAAGTACCTTAAAAATAGCTTTTGAATGAATATGTATTCAGTAACATGGATTGCAAGTATCTAATAAAGTGTAGGAATAGCAGTTGCATTCACATTTGTGTGGGAATCATTTGGTTATTTGAAAAATCAAAACATTATCCTTTTTCTTCTTAAAAGATTTCATTGTAAATTCTCATGTTTATTTTGGAACTTTGTGATTTTTGAAGAGAAACTATCCAAGACCATATTAAGTAAGTGAATTTTAAAACTGATTATTTGTCTGATGTTATAATTAAATAGCTAGAAAATTTATGGGAGAAATGTATTTTCAAAAATGTAAATTTTAATCACGAAAAGTATTCATAAGAGCATAACTCTAATCCCAGGATGCTGTTAGAAAATAAAACTATGCCTTTCCTAATAATATTTTTTATACTAGTCTTAAGCATAAAGAGATACCTAATGAACTACACTTGTGTGAAAAGTATTGATAACATTTTGATGACTTAACATAACAGCAAACAGATATCTTGATCAGAAATAATCTGAGAAATTGAAAATACCAGAGCATAACACGCACACATTCATTTTGCATGTAAAACTTCTCTCATGAATTGCTTTATACTTCTGTGCTCCTCCAACCTAATGTTCCTATTTAATCCTTAATGAAACATCAGCTTGATAATTTGCATTTGTATTTATGCCTTACCAGCACATTATATCCTACTAGTCACTTTGGATTACACTTTGAAGTCATTTTGCCCATTGCACAATCTATACTTATATCAACAGAATTTTACTTCATATATTAAAAGTTCTGAAATATGGAAAATTACCCCACAGCTTAGCTTAAAGATGATTTGATTATTATCAGGCGATTTAATCATCTTTATCCCTATACTGCCTCTTAGTGACTCTTATCCTATTGCTGATCACACTGGTCTCCTAATGGTCTTGAAAACGCTCCAGGAATGTAGTGTTCCAGTTCTTCAAGGCTAACAACACTGATCTGCAGGCTTTCATCTTTGCTACCACTGAAGGGTTACTTCCTACCAACGTACTAATGCATAATTTATGAAGTACAATTAGCATTGCTAAACTGTATGAAGTCTCAAAATTAGTAATGTATCACATGAAGTAGTAGTATTGAAAAAGTAATTGCACTGAAGGTGTGATCCGATGGTTGGCCTTCCTGTGGTTGGATTGGAGACACTTTATGACTGGGACAGTCTGTGAACCATTACATTTTTTCAGTTGCTGCTATTCTCATGTTCCCTAATTGTTTTGTCAAGTGGTTTGCTTATTCTGTTTTTAGATTTATTTCTTCCTCTGTTTCTATTGTACCATTTATTTTTTACTGTCATTTACTGTCTTTTCAACTTTTCTTCATTTCTTTTTCCTTCCTTTGGAAAACTATGAAATGGGCTTTGGAGTATTTCATTCTTGGGAAGTTCCATAGAGCACAAGAAAAACTGTTGTAAAGTTAGACAGGCTACTCAGTTAATTTAGAGTGCACTGGCTCCCCAGTGTTATAGATCCCAAACCACACTGGAGTGTGTTTATTTTTGGTCCTCTGCTGCTCTTGTTCCTTGAGCGTTTTGAGAGTAACTGGTACACATGTTCCCTTTAAACCAGAGTTACAGGTATGCAACTTCAAACCATAGAGAAAGACTGTGAGAGAATCCAAAAGCTATTTAGAGATAGTACTGTCACTGACAGAGTTCTAAAGGCTTTGTTTCTTCATTGACATTTCAGAAACTGGAATTTTTTGATTCTTATGCTAGCTTTTGAAGGAACATAAGAAATACCAGTAGCACGTGGACTTTTCTCTTAGATGATGCTTATTCAGTAAATTGTCATGGCATAGAGTCTCTTGTGGTAGTAATGCATAGGAATATTTTGTATGTATACACGTATGTATATGTGCAGAATATTCTAACAGGAGGGAAGTCTTCTATTAAGTCTATTTATAAAGTCTATTGCAAAAGCTAATGCATTTTGAATTAATGCATAGAAATCAAAATGGATAAGATTTTGTTCTGGAGTTTCCTGTTGACTTTTTCTGGAAGTCATGCTACAAGAACCTGGGCTCAAAAGAATGCTGAATTTGCAGTGGATCTTTATCAAGCTGTCAGTTTATCTCATAAGAACAACATTATATTTTCCCCTCTTGGAACAACTGTGCTTCTTGGAATGGTCGAACTGGGGTCAAAAGGAAGCACACAGCAGCAGATAAGACGATCTCTGAGGCTTCAGGAAACCTCGACAGGTGAGTATGACAGGCAACTCTTTGTAGACATGGTCAGGTTTATTTTTAAGATATGAGGGAGAAGCTCTGGGTCATAGAATTTCAACAGATGAAAAATATCATTAGATGTATAAATTTTAATAAAATTTGGAATTACAAATGTAAGCATTTTTATTTACCTATAATTTCTTCCTGATGAAAACTATGCAAAAATACTTAAGATGTGTACACATATGTGTCTATAAGCAACATATATACACATATACACTTTTCCAGTACAACTTACTATTTTCAAAATTTATGCTGATTCAAAACACAATTTAGATTACTATGTTTTATTTCTTCTTACAGAAATAACATAACTTACTCAACCCTTCTTCATCTGCTGTTTTCCTCATTTCTCTCATAAAGATAATAATATACTTATGCCAGAGAGATGACTCAGCAGTTCAGAGCACTGGCTGGTCTTCCAGAAGACCTGGGTTCAGTCAGCTGACAACTGTAGGTAACTCCAGTTCCAGGAGTTACATAGCCCTTTTGTCCTCTGCTAGTTTATAGTTACAGCTGCAGTTATATAAATGCAGGAAAAGTACTCATACATAAAAAGTACACTCTCCCACAGCAAAACCAAGAAAAGTATTAACTTACTCAGTCAAAAGCTTACTTAACAATTTTAAAAAATGCAGGACAAAGTAATAAAATCACCCACATCCAGGAAAGGCTTCTTGCTGTGTGGGTGGTGGTTGTGAGTCTCCCTAAGGCCCTTTTGCACATCTTGTATGAAACATTCTGATTGCTGTCTGGCTCATGTTCTCAGTGCACAGTGGTTTAAATTTTTAAATTTTTTATTTATTGAATTTTTGTGCATTTCATACATCTTGATCGTATTTAGACCCTCTCCCCTATCTGTACCTCCACATAGCCCTCCCACCAGACTTAGGGCATTCTAACATATATGTTAAGGCCTGTTCAGTCAAATTCATGTTCTCAAATGTCCCTCTGTGTGAGTTCATCCCCTGGAGCCTAGTCAACCTGTCTAACATCACTCACTTAAGGAAGACCAACTCTCCCTCACCCAGTGATCAGCTGCCAATAATTCCTCAGCTAAAGTTGGGACTTCTCACCCATTTCCCCAGTTGTATGCTGTGTTTTTGTTTGGTTTGAGTTTATATGGCTCTTGTACATGCTGTTTTCATTGCTTTAAGTTGATATGAACAAGTTCACCGCCGCCTGGAAAACTGTTTCCTTGTGGTCATCCACTGCCCCTGGCTCTTACAATCTTTCCACCTCCTCTTCTTCAATGAACCCTGAGCCCTGAGTGACAGAGGTTTCATATAGGAGTCAAATCCAGGGACAGGGACTCTGCAGTCTCTTAGTCTCCACATTTTGCCCAGTTGTGGCTTTCTGGGTTTATCACCATCTCTTGCATGTGGAAGTTTTTCTGGTGAGAGTTGAGACATGCTTTAATAGTCTCTCTGCCCTCTGTTTCAAGATGTTCCCTGAGCCTGAGGTGTAGAGGTTGCAATGTAGATGTGTCACTTAGTGTTGGTTGTCTCACAGACATTGTTTCTCTGTGTTTGACCATTTGTGGAACTCTGTAATAGTCTCCATATATTGCAAAAAGTAGCTTCTTTGATGAGTGGTGAGAGGTATACTTATCTACAAATACAAGGATACATATTTAGCATAAAGTAAGAAATTGAATTTGTCTATGGATGTGACAGATTAGGGTTTTCCTCTAAGATTTATGACCTCTCCGGCCATGAGCATTTGAGCATGTTTACAGTACTATGCATAAGTTCCCTCCCACTGAGTAGGACTTAAATCCAGTTAGACAGCTGTTGATTACCCCCAAGATAAAAGTGTCTCTACTGCACTCATAATGATAGTTTGCTGTGTTGGTCATTATTGTGCTTATTTACAGCTGGGTTGGATCATGATTGTTTTTCTCCCCTAGTAGATTGCATGGTTTGAATTTTAATCTTTTATGTAATTATTACAGAGTGTACCCTAAACATTAGAAGAGACATTTAGGTTATTTGGGAATTTAGTTACCATAAACATAACTAATTTCAACATATTTGACTTATGGCAGTTTATCCTTATTTAAGAATGTGTTTTTCTGAAAATAATATTTACAAAGCATAATTGCTTTATTTGAAATAAAAGAAATTTTATGCAGGAGAAGTATTGGCAAAAAAGTTAACTGAAAGTATTTTCCTTTTCACATAACATATAATGAAACTATTATATTCTAGATTTAGTCTTAATTTCAGATAATCTCACCTTAACACAGAAATATATCAAACTGTACTTCTCTGAAAAGTAATCAAATGCTTATGACTATCTATACACTTGATTCTATAGCAAGCTATCAAAATAGACTTCTGAAATTAAAATTTCCAGATAGATGCATCTTAGAGGGAAACACATATATTTAAAAAACGTGGGATTTTTGAACATAACAATCACAGTAATAATAATAGGGCGCCATCAACATGCATGCACTGTATCAACCACTGTGTTCTATGCCTGATACAAACTCTCATGCAATATTTGCAATCACTTTATAAGGTAAACGTAACTCTTATCTACAGATGAGAAAGCCAAGGCAAAATGTGGGTGAGTACATTGGCAAGGACCCTTTCCAAAATGATGCAATGAAGCTCGTAGGGGAAATTTTATATTTTTCTTCAAGAAAATAGATTTTAAATCAGTTACTAGAATCTACACAAATAGTTCTACTGTCTACTTTCCAAGGGATAGAGAGACACAGATGGAAAGAAGTGCTAAAGGGAGAAGGGAAACTGTAAGGGAGAAATGAAAAATTAAAAGAAGAGAGATGTGAGGAGGGAGTAAATGGCGAAGACAGGGCGGAAAGGAGAATGGCTTTGGTGTGGAGCGGGAGTAGGACAGGCCAGCAGGCAATGATGATGGAGTCCATGTGGATACTGGGACAAGAGCAAAGGATAAAAACGAATCCTGTCTATTTAAACTTGTTTTGCTCATTGTACATTTTTTATAATTTTGATTTTTGTATGTATGGTCCTGTGAATGTGCATATATGAGGTGCGTGTGGAAGACAGAGGTTATCATCGGGTATCTTCCTCAAACACTCTTCTCTATGCTATATTAGGTAGAGCTTCTTCCTAATCCTGAAGGCCCCTGGTTTGGCTAGACTGACTGGTCAGGAGGCCCCAGGCTCTTCCTGTCTCTGCCTCCACACTGCTGAGGTTACAAGCATGTGCCAATCATGCCAAGCTTTTTCATACGACTGCTGGGGATCAAACTCAGGTCCTCATGCTTTATGGATAAGCCCATAGGTGACTGAGCCATTGCTTTAGCCATTAGGGTGACTTTTATAGCTGTGTTTGGATCACATGCACATATAACTGGCCTTTGAACTCCAAACATTTGGAGAAATTGAGAGGGAGTTGGGGAATGGGAGGAGCTGGAGAGGGACTGGGAGAGTGGAGATACTGCATATACAATATTCACTTATAAAATTCTCAAAGAATAAAAACTATAAAAGGGAACAGGTATTGGAATCTCATTTTCTGGAGGCCTGGTATAACCAAAAGAAGTCTCACTCACCTTCTGATCTGTAAGTTTTTCATGCCGCTATTTTAGGAATTTAAGCACATATTTCTTCTCATTGCTGATTAGGAGGAGCTATGCATATGTATTATTTTTCGATCTGTGCTAAATGAGGTCATTAACCAGCAAATCAAATCAACTTTATAAGCCTGATAACTATATTTTCCTCCTAATTTGTGCTACTTGGTGAAAGAACTCCACTGACTTAGGAGCCTAGTGATTTATCAAAGGGCAGCTGTTTGTCACATGGTCTTAGACCTTAAGTATATATCATGACTCCATTTGCACTGACAAATGAATTAGAAATATTTTCCTCCTCCCTGTTTTATTACTATCAATTATTTAAAGATGTTTATCAATTATAAATTCTTGAAAATTAATTTGGAATTCTGTTACTTTGTCTTTGCCTTTAATTCATTCTTTTGGTAAAATTTTAAATTGGATTCTTGTGTATTTCATACAAATCATCTTAATCATCTTTACACCCCATTCTCCATTGGCACCCTCCCATACGCCCCCAATTGGAATTCATGCATCCTGTCATTTGTGTTAAGGCCTATCGAGTCAAGTTAGTGTGCCCTGATGACCTTCAGTTCAGGTTCATCCACTGAGGTCTAGTCAGCCTGTTTACAGTGCCTCCTTTTAAGAAGATCAGCTCTTCCTCACCCAGCAGTCATCAGCTGCCAACAGTTCTTTGGCTAAGACTGGGGCCTCCCGTCCTTTTCCACAGTTCTATGCTGGGTTTTTTTCTGCTTGACTTTGCATGGGTCTTGTGCATGCTGAAACCATTGCTGTAGGTTCATATGAGAAGAGTTCCAGGAGCCTGTAGGACTCTATTTCCATATGGTCATGGACCTCTACTCTGGCTCTTACAGTCTTTCTGCACCCTCTTACACAATGGTCCCTGAGCCGTGGGTAGGTGAGGTTTAATATGGGAGTCTTGTCCAAGGACCTGAACTCTGCAGACTCTTATTCTCTATGATTTGGCCATTTGTGTTCATGACCCTGTGTTGCATGAGGGTGATTTGTTGATGAGAGTTGACTTGGATACTTTCAGAGAAGGTTTTTGGCTTTACTAGGAAATCGCTGTTTCCCAGCTATTGAAATAACCTTTCAAGCTTCAAATAGCAGTAATGATGGTGTCTCGAATCATCATAGAAACAAGCAAAGCAGATTAACTTTCTTCCATTCATTGTGTAAAGAAGTTCAGGGTTATCAAGTACTATAGAAATTTTCATGTCTAATCATGTAAAAGTAGATTTTTATATTTAAATCTTTTACACCTTTGTCTATGTCCCAGTGCAGAGAGAACCTTAAGTCTCAAATAAAATGCAATCTATTTGACAGAGCTTCCTGTACATATGTGCAGGCTGTGCCTGTACAAGAACACTAGACCAAGGAGTCCTGTGGGGACTGAAGTACAGCCTCTGTCAGCTGGGAAAGATGCAAAGCTTTGGGGAGGCAGCTGCTGATTGTCAGCCCTATCGATTACACAAAGACACTCTTTGACTACTAGCTTTATAAAAAAATGTGTAGTGGTGACTCCAAGAGGAAAGGTCAGCCCCAGTGTCTGGGGTGCCAAGACAAGAAATGGGCCAGTACCCAGGCAAGGAGGAGAGACAGGGCAGGGGAGCTGGGAGAGTGAATGAGGCTGGGGGAGTCAAGGCATGGAGGGCATGGTGGACTTACCCAGGAAAGGGGATGGCGGGTTGTGCAGCCCAAGGAAGCAGAGGGAAGTGAGGGTGGGACCAGGGCCAGAGGGCTCCTGGGGACCCTGAGAAGGAACTTGGATCGTCTGGATGCAAATGATCAGGAAGCAGTGGTGGTTCCGGGCCAAGAGGTCAGCCCTGGTGTCCAGGAAAGAGGCTGGGGTTGTGCAGCCCAAGGAAGCAGAGGGAGGTGAGGGCAGGATCAGGGCCAGAGGGCATTTTAATGACTGAGCCACCTCCTTATTGCCCTCAGTAATACTTTAAAAACTCTACTCAAGGAGCATCTTTCTTTCTTTTCCTTCCTTCCTTCCTTCCTTCCTTCCTTCCTTCCTTCCTTCCTTCCTTCCTTCCTTCCTTCCCTCCCTCCCTCCCTCCCTCTTTCTTATGTAAGAATATTGATTACTTTCCTCCCTCGTTAGCCTGCAGAGCACCATTTGATAGAAGCCAGTAGCAGGGAGAAGCCTTTCTGTTCAGTACTAACTTGATTTCTCCATTTCCTATATATACCAATTCTTTTCTTCTAGTTATTTATTGAGACAAGGTCTCCCTGTAGTATTCCGAGCTGGCCTGGAACTCACTATGTAGACCAGGCTGGCCCCCATCTCATAGAGATCTGCCTTCTTCTCTTCTGCTTCCCAAGTGACAGGACTAAAGGCATGTGTTGCCATGCCTGGTCAAGGAACACCTTTTAGTGATGAACTATATTTATTTTCAATGGAGAGCAAGCAAATACAATCAATTTTCAAGTTACAGAAGTGACATTTTCAGTATTTAATTGAAAATATAATGACAATCCAGAAAGAATCTGTTATTTGAAAGTGTTCCTAACATGAGTTCCAGGATTAAGCCAGAAGTGCATAAAAATGTTTAATACTGTCAGGAAATGAATAAGAAACCGTGGGGAGAATGAGCAGACTTGACAAGCCACAGAGTCACACACAGCACTATGGTCAGACCACTCACCAGTGAATAACCATCTGGTGGGAATTCTTTCAGTGGACTCTAACTGGTGGTCATAGTTGGAAAGGTTAACGACTTTTATTGTTCCTGTGAACAGCCAAAGTACTTAAATTCATGAGTCCAAACAAAGTGGCACTTCTGAATTTACATATGTCTGGAGATGATTACGAGGCTTACCTTGCAAGCTTTGAAACCAGAAAGGTGTAGTTCCTCAGCAGAGAGCAGGTTTTCCAAAGCCAAAGTAAAATTAATGTAAAAAACCTGTTTATCAATATCATACCTCCGTTAGCATTCATTAACATTTCCCTGTAAACATGACCTTACACATAAATTCCCTATTAAGTAACCTAAATGTGATCAGAAAGTTGAGCTTTCCTTCAGCTTGTATAAATTTATGTTTGTTTCTGAAAAAAAAATGTTAAATTTATATGATCACTCTTTTTCTTGCATGAAAGCTGATTTCCCTGCCAGTACATATTCTTTATATATTCTTTATTAATTCTTATTAGAAAAAATTTAAAAAATACAGAAAAATAAAAAGTAGTAACCAAGAATAATAATCATATTATCTCATCCAGCATATCTAGCAGATCAGTATCCAATCATGTCCAATTCTCCTTGGTCAGTGAAATAAAAAAGGAAGCTGCCCCCAACAATCACCCACAAATACATATTCTAGAGGAGGCTGAACTATTTTTACTAACTTAGCACCATTAGTTAGTTCAAAGATGTAAAAGTCCTGCTATGAGTCAGGATACTTGGAGAGCAAAGCTGGGCTGTTGTTTCTATGTTGTTCAATGTGTCAGTACACGTTTTAATTATTTTTTAGGAGAGGAATTTTCTGTGCTGAAGTCATTTTTCTCTGCCATCTCCAAGAAAAAAAAGGAATTTACATTTAATGTTGCCAGTGCCCTCTACCTTCAAGAAGGATTCTCTGTGAAGGAACTATATCTCCATGACAACAAGGAGTTTTTCCAGAGTGCTATGAAACGGGTGAATTTTCAGGATGCAAAGACTTGTGCTGAGACAATAAATACCTGGGTAGAAAGCAAAACAGATGGTAAAGTTCCCATTTTCATAAAATTGTTATTACTATTGTATTCATGACTTCTAATATCCCAAGGTAAAAAATGGCTGAATATTTCCCTGTTCCTGCCGTGGATCAAAAAGACAAAATATTCTATTTTATCTCACTATTTTTAAATTAACACCAAATTGCAAAACCCGAGAAACCATAAACTGTTTTGAAAAAAGTACACCATTTTATTTATTATACTTATCAAAGACATCTGTATAGAATTTCAATGGAATAATTTTACTAATAATTTTTGTCTAAGATTTTTTTTTCAAGTATGAAAACCAGAAGGCTCTATTTGTCCAGGTATAAGTTAGATATGTCAAACCCAAATGCCTACTTTCCCAAGTATACTGTAAAAAAATTAGCACAATTTTAGCTGACTATATTAATGTTTAACAATAATGCTAATAGTCTTATCAAAAATATGCTAGTCTTACCTTTAAACCCAAGGTAGCAAAAATTCCAGAGTGATTAAGTAGAGATTAAGGTTGGAGTAGATTTGAGCTCAAATTATAATAAATTGTAAGGTAAGACCCTTTTCAATTGAAGATACTATGGAAACATTTCAGAATTCTTGGAAATTTTAACAATAATGCATATAAAGTAACAAACATGTACTTGGCTCTTAGTAGAAGTTTTTCTTTGATTATTGATTATGCCCTGAAACTTGTGATTGTGTCAGATGCTACCAGCTCCTTCATAAGCACACTCACATGGAGAGGCCTAAGCTACAAGTGTGAGGTGGGGGTGAATTTACAGGGATGCAAAGTGAAGATACCATGCCATTATAAACATGGAAATACCCACTACATAGAGAAGTAAGATAAGAGACTGTTTTGAAGACCGCAGTCAGGCTAGCTGCTGGTCACTGGCTATAGCCATGAGAATAACAAGTTTGAGTGCACCATTAACCTAGTAAATCTGATTGCCTTGATGAGTGACCTTGCCCTGGGTTAGGTCTGAATAATATTGAAAACTATGCAGAAAGACCTATTTCATTTCTGTGCTTTATTCCCGAATGACAATTTGTGCATATAATCTCAGTACAGAGAGTGCATTACTAGCTCTGTCCACATTTGCCTGGAACGGCCTCATTTCTCATTTCTTGGTGTTTTGATTTACACCTGTTTCTTCATGAAATAGTTAATGGTAGTCCCCTTTGCTCTTACAGTGGCTAAGGTTAAATGAGGAGACATCCTGCCCCAAACAGCTCCATGCAAGGCATTTTTGTTTAATCTATTTAAACCAGCTCGGTGGAATCACTGCTGAAATTTTTCCTTACTTCTTTGTCTTTCCATCCCCTTCATAGGAAAAATTAAGAACATGTTTTCAGAGGAAGATTTTAGCCCCCTGAGTCGTCTGGCTCTGGTAAATGCCATTTATTTCAAGGGGGATTGGCAACAGAAATTCAGAAAAGAGGACACAGGGATGATGGGCTTTACTAAGAAAGATGGCTCAACAGTCAAAGTTCCCATGATGAAGGCTCTATTGAGAACAAACTATGGTAATATGTGAAACCGTGTATTTTAAGGTATGGCTTGGATAACTGACAATTGTATTTAATGCTGTAATTTCTTTGTTCCAGGTTATTTTTCTGACTCCACCATGAAGTACAAGGTTTTGGAATTGCCTTACAATGGTGATGATTTTAGTTTGATTATCATCCTTCCCACAGCAGAAGTGACCATAGAAGAAGTGGAGAAACAAATTACTGCTCATCACCTCCAACAATGGCTCTCTGAGCTGCGTGAAGAGGAAGTGGAAATCAGCCTTCCTAGGTTGGTAATGTTTTGTTCCTCTAAGCTTTGAATTCTAAGTGGAATTCTGTGGTCAGTTTTTGCTAATGAATATCCTTGGCGATGACAAGGTATTATCACAGGAAGCAATGGTTCTAGACACTGGTATACTCAGGGAGAGAAGAACTTTCAGGGTAAATGGTATACCCAAATAGCATGCTTTATGCTCTCCAGTGTCTTAACTTTTTCGTATATTTTAAATATAATAGTGTTATTAATTCTTTGAGAATTTTATATGCACATACAATGTATTTTAAACACATTCACCCCACATTACTCCTCCAATCCCTTAGATTCAGCCTCTTAACCTCATATCCTCCTTTTTTTTTTCTTTTGCAACCAACTAAGTCCAATTTGTATGGCTCAGTTACTCATGGGGTCATCCACTGGACCGTGGTCCACCTACCAAGGTCCACATCCTTAAAGCAAATTGACTGTCTCTCTCCCAGCATCTGTCAACTATCATTAGCTCCTCAGCTAAGGGTGAAGGCTTGTGAACACCTCTTCCCCACTGTGGCATGTTGGCTGGTTTGGTATTGCACAGTTTATGCACACACCCATAGCTGTTGTGAGTTCATGAGTTCAGTGATCTTTTCATATCCAGAAAACATTGTTTTGCTCAAGTCCTCGATTTCTGGCTCTTATAATCTTTCCAGCCCGTCTTCTGAGATGGTCCTGGAACCTTGGAGAAAAGGGTGTGGTATAGAGGTCCCATTTTTGGACGAGCGCTCCACAGAAAGTTATTCTCAGCACCTTGCTGATTCTCAGTGCTTGTCTCAGGCTTCTAATTCTTAACAAAACATACACCATAAAACTCTTTCACTTCTCTTTCTTATGCAAATCACCTTAAATGTCATATAAAACTTTGGAAATTGAGTCCCTGCCTTCCTTGACATTCTGGAGAAGGAGGTATTCTACACCTTTCTCAACTGTAGGTAATTCATCCAAATATTATTGAGAGAGAGGAGATAGAGATAGAGATAGAGAGAGAGATAGAGAGATGAGAGGGAGAGAGAGAGAGAGAGAGAGAGAGAGAGAGAGAGAGAGAGAGAGAGAAAGAAAGAAAGCAAAAGCGAGAGAGAGGCTGGGGACTGCAACTAGGGCTTTGTACATGCCAGGTAAGCACTCTACCACTGAGCTACGTTCTTAGTCATGGGTTCTCTTGCCCTGTTTTAAATCTTTCTTTCGTGTATTCCTTACTCACTGTCTTTCTCTTTCTTATCTCTTTTCTTCTTTCCTCCCCTCCTCTTCCCCTCTTCCTCTTGTTCCCTAACATAGTTTTTATTTATGGGTCTCAAATTAAAATGCTTACTAAGGCTTTTATCACATGTTCTATTATCTGGAAATATTGTTTCCTCGTATTATTCATGTATCTAAAATCTGAATGGCTAGCCCCAAACTTGTTTCCAATTGCATACCATCTGTATACTTCTACCTGAATATGAATCTATTCTTTCAAAGACTATACTTTTTAGTTTCTGCTCTATGGCATACTTGATATCTATTGTTTAATCGATTACCTTCTAATAATTAAAATAGTCATTTAAAAAATTAAGTTGTTTATGATTAAAATACCTCATGCCTTTGAGCAAATCACTACATTGGACTAAAAATATACTGTTTGAAAACTGTGCCATATGCTTTAAGTGCCAGCTTAAGAAACTCACATGACCACTCAGAGCTGCAGTTTTATCAATATAATATATGAACAATGATACTCATAACAAAGGAATCACATTTTCTTCAACCTAAATAGGAAATACTCAATAATAGTGCAAGAATCAAAAATTTGACTGATTCTAGCATCTTAAGAAATACTTCACAAACTTATTCAGGCTGTTGCTGTCTAGAATTTTCTTCATTTGGGTCTTAGTAGCAGCTACTCCAATCTATGGCCATAGAAGCCTGTAAAACAACTCCCACAGTGCACACCCAGAGCTTTCATTCATCCAAACCCCAAAATTGTGTTCCTACCCTCAACTTGAAACCCTAGCACCCTAAACATTGAATGCCTCCTTATTTGGAGGTAGGGTCTTTATAAAGTAAACAAATTCGGGCAGGCAAGGTACTTATAAGAAAGGGAAATTTGGACCCAGAGACATACACAGAAGAAAACATACATGACTTGCCAAGGAAAAGACGACCATCTGTAAATCAAGAGAAGCATGGGGCAGCTCTCCTAAAGTACCAGTACTGCTGGCTGGTTCCTTGGCTGTGGACTCCCAGAAACTACAACTGTGAACACATCAGTTCGTGTCATCTAAATTATCCAGTCTAAGGAAACTGATAAAAATACAGAAATCTCAATGTTAAGTCAAATGATAGTGAGAATTCGATGGCACTAAGAGGGCTTTACAAGGCAGAAAGTAATTTAAAACTGCCTCCAGCCATGCCTATCCTAGACTGCAGACCGTTTCTTGTACTACGGTGCCTCCTCCTGTCTGTTTCTATCTTTGCCCATCGCCACCATGCCAGGGATATCCTCACCTCAAAGCCCTGCTTTTACCATCTCCCTACCACTTGACATTCTGATCTTCTAACTTTTCAAGGCAAAATAAGAAAGAAATTCACCTAGGTTTCCTTCCATCCTCTCTCAAGCCAACTTTCCAGTTGTGACAGGAATCTATAGCAATATATTTTAATATTCTGAAAACAGTTTTCTTATGGTGTAGAATACTATACTCCCTCATCCTCACAGACATGCATCTCATTCCCACTGGGTTCTTTTGCATAATGAAAAGCACACTGTATTACCTTCCTAAACAAATGAATAATTTGCTTTATTGATGAATTTAAATCTTCATGTATATGAAACAGAAACGGCAGTTGGCAGTTTTATCTCATTTTCCCATCAAACTCCAATGAGCAAAAAAATTTAAAAACTTGGTGATAGTTTCAGTTCTGGAGTATCCTCAAATAATTTTATTCATAGTACAAAGTCTGGCAAATATAAAATTAATAATGACTGTTAAAATAATCTTTTGCTCAGACCAGTGCCCAGCCAATACCAAGCAGTCTTTTCTGTCTTCTCAATCTCCCTTCCTTCTTTCCCTGTATCCACAGGCCTTTCTCCATGGTGCCTGACTAGTAAATTTGCATTCATCTTTCAAGGCCCGCACTGAGTTACCTCTTCCAACAGATCTCAGATATGCTCAGTTGAAAGGACACATTCTTTTTCTTTATCTCCAGAACACATTATGCAAGTTTACATCATAGCCTCTATTAAATTGTGCTATCCTTTCCTGCTCACATTTTCTTTTTCAAATATTTTATTTATTATTTTTAATTTTTTATGTGTAAGTGTATTGCCTGCATCTGTGTAAGTGCACCTGTGTGGTGCAATGCCCGTGGAGGTCAGAAGACAGCATCAGATCACTTAGAATTGGACTTACAAATCATTGTTAGCCATCATGTGGGTGCTGGGAATTGAACCCAAATCCTCTGTAAGAGCAGCCAGTACTTTTAACTGCTGAGCCCGCTTGGCAGCCCTGTTTTCATCTCCTCTGCTACCATGTGAGTTTGGAGGAAGATGGTCACGTTCCAGTCATTTTGGTTCCTATAGTCTGAGGCACATTGTGTGGTAAGTGAGTATACAAAGTTAGATTACACAAAAATTTTAAGTAGGAAGTCTATTTTATTTCTCTTTGACTTTAAACATCTCACACAGTAGTCAGCTTTCTACTCTCTCTCATTTATTATGAGGATCCTGACAAAGCTGTCCTCCTTTCCAACAAAATGAAAATTAGAATGTTAATTCTTTCACATTGTCTCACCCCTCCATCATGGTTTTCCCTCTTAAGGTTATTGGGAATATTCTCTGTCAATGAGGTAAAATGAGACTTGGAAGATTTTCTTTTTAATTCACAGCACTGAATATTTTATTAATTTTCTAATCACATTAACACAATCTTATGCTTAAAAATATTCACATTTTATTAAAAGAATTGCTTTAACTTCTTCAAGCAATGATTTGGTTATGTAGTGAGTAAAATATCCATTCCAGCCTCTCATGCTTCTCAGACTAAGTTTACTGTGCACTAACATCATGAATTGAAATTTCTGAGATACATTTTCCCAAATTAACTATTTCCTTACAAAAATAAACATTCACATTTAAAATATGTATTTGCAAGAGAAAAGAAAAATTATATAGATTCAGTAAATTATTTTTTTTACACTGATGTTTGTTTGGTTTGTGTTCTCCTCTCCCCCTCCCTCTCAGTCTTCCTCTCCCTCCCACTCCCCCTCTCCTCCCTCTCCCTCTTTTTCTCATGCACATCTCTGTATGTAGCCCATGGTCACACTGAATTCACTATGTAGTCCAGGTTGGCTTCAAACTCATGATACATCTGTCTCTACCTCTAGGCTACCGGTCTGTATTACCATCTTTGGTGACAAGTATATGTTTTATCATTCAATGCTGTGTCTCTTATATCTGAATGAAGGCATCATGGACTTTAAACTGCTAAACTGGAATAATTTAAGCAACTATATTAATTTCCTAGAGCTACTGTATAAGAAGGTACAACAGAGCAAACTAGTTAACTGTAAACAAAAGAAATTTATTCCATAATGATTTTAATTTCAAACTCCAAAATCAAGTTGTCAACAGGGCCATATTGACCTTGAGACTGTGCCCAGGGTACACCCTTGCTTCCTGTCACTTCCAATAATGTCCAGCCTTCCTGCATGTTCCTCTGATAACAGATGCAAAATCCAGACTCTGTTTTCACATGGCACTCTCATATTTCATAAGAACACTAGTTCCATACAGCTAGAGCCCATCTTACTCCAGCAGGGCCTCACCCAATTATTTCTGTAATGCCCTTATTTCTAACTATTATCATATTAAAAGTTTCAAGGTTAAAAAAATATCTACCTCAGAATTGTTGGATTATGGCTGTCGTGGTGTTTAAAAAAAGTTTCTGGTGTTTAGGGCTTAAACATAGGAATTTTAGAGAAGTATAGTAACAGCACAAATC